TCCAAGACTACCAAATCACTAATCTAAGTGCTACAATGATGCTTAAATAAATGATTTCGAGCATATATCTAGCAACCAAATCAAACTTATCCGAATCTATCCATCATTCATACACATCTTCACGATCGGCAATATACTGGAAAATATATCTCGTGGAGTTTTCAGCCTGTCAGCATCTCCATCAGGAATTTCGAATCTAGAAGGGACATTTTCTTGAGGAGCAATAACATTGGATTGATACAACAAGCTTACAGGCTGCTCGCATTGTCTGACAACTGGGAAAAGTCAATCTCGAGCATATTCATCGGTCTTTTGCTGTGTACCCCAATTTCTCTGATCTTTCTCGAAAGCAACCAATTTCAAAAAAAAAGTGTATTGATGAACTGTGTAAGGGTAAATAGCGTCACCATTTTTAGTATTCAATTTATTAGGTTGAGCAATAGTTATGATGTAGTCGGAAGCGCTCGATTTCTTGTACATTTTGATGGACAACACTTTTGCATTTACCCTATTTTCCGGTGTATAAGCCCCCGCTAGTATCATGTAAAAACACCTCCACTGGTGCAGTGTACTTGAGTACATCTAGAGTCAACCGTAACATGCCCATAGGGGTAATTCGATATGCTGATCACGAAAACGACATTCGTTTTTAGCGGTGGCGGCATCTGGCGCCAGTTGGCGCCACCTTGTCACGACCCTTGTTTTCGCCAAAATCGGTGTAAACTTCAGTATAGGGGTTATTTGGGACCCTGATTACGAATATGACATTCGTTTTTGGCGTTAACGTTGTTTAGTGCACATGTCTCGGTTGGAGAGCGCAGACGAGCAGAAAATAGGCGTCAAACAGCGCCAGCGCCTATAATGAATGTCATATTCGTAATCAGGGTCCCAAATAACCCCTATACTGAAGTTTACACCGATTTTGACGAAAACAAGGGTCGTGACAAGGTGGCGCCAACTGGCGCCAGATGGCGCCAGCGCTGAAAAATGAAAGTCATTTTCGTGATCAGGGCATCGACTTACCTCTATAGGCAAATTTGCGGTGGTTTCTAAGGTGTACAAAGTTACACTGCACGAGCGGGGGTGGTTTTACGTGAAATCGGCGCGGGCTTATACACCGGAAATTAGGGTACTTTAACTATGGAGCTTAGGATAGCGACAAAAGGGAGGCAATGCGACAGAGTGCAGTGGGAACTCGAAACGAATGCTTCTGCATGGTGCTCGGGAGGAATCGATGAGCTTAGGATGAGTAGGCACGGCTGCAGAGAGCCGGACTGTTCCGTGGCTGGTTACGCCATTTATGGCTGTTTCTGTTTGGTTTTGTTTCTATAAACTTATGAGTGAAATGTAAAAGGCGGATAGTTATTGCTGAATTCAACATTATTTTGGAACGCTAAATTTGATGTTTCAAAAGTATTCTAATTTACTACTTTTTCGCGATGACGTAAATTTCGAAAATGCCATGAAAAGGAGAGTGGCCGATGTCAGACTTTGCGATTGGAGCGATTTTGCACCAATTGCAGGAGCGACGGATCGCTCCAAAGTGCGAGCGACGGGAGATTTACCCCGCCGACGACCGATACACACGGCGCCGCTCGGGTAAATCTCCCGTCGCTCGCACTTTGGAAGCGATCCGTCGCTCCTGCAATTGGTGCAAAATCGCTCCAATCGCACAGAAGTCTGACATCGGCCAGTGAAGAACAGCATAAGGAAAGTCTTCGCTCAATCGATACTGGCAGATAGATAGAAGTATGAGAATATTTCACAAAAACGAAAGGTATTCGTAGAGGATAGAAATGGTCTGATATATCAACTATAAATTGAACAAGAATTAGCAACTGTCCGTGTTTCGCCAAGCAGACAAACTAGGTATCCAAAAAAAAAAAAAAAAAAAAAAAAAATAAAAAAACAGTGGGAACCATTGAGACAGATAGAAGGCTTGGTTTAAATAGCGGATGAGATTTTAACTTCCGATGGGTAAAAGAAGAAAGAAAGACAGAGAATAGGATAAGAGGCGACGTTTTACTTTCAATATGTAACTTCTATCACATCAAATGATATTTGACTACGCATTCGTTACCGTTAATAAAGGTTTTGAGTCATAGAGCAAAGAGAAGGGTGACTCTTCATATTTCGTGACCTACCGGTACGTGTAAGCGCCCTTTCATAAAAACCTCGGACAAGTTACTTCTACAAATTATTACAGAAAAAACAACCTACCCAAACTCTTCTTCCATTGCCATAATCATTTCAACGTGATCAAGAGAGTCCAGGCCTAGATCCTAAATTACAATTTCCAGAGACATGTTTTCTGTAGAGATATGACGTATGGGATGTTGAAATAACCTTGACAAAATCCGAGTCCATCGTCAGTTTCTTCGGATCAATCTTATCATAAGAGGCCGAGCACAAGGAGAATACGATCTTCGAGAGTCTTCTTAGTGAGAGGAGCCTGAAGGGAGAATTCTTCAGTGGACTTGTATGAAAAATATCGAAAAAGTCAATAAATTACAAAGTTTTGAAAATTGATAAAACAGTGAGAACCAAGCATAAATTAGAAGAATATAGAAAAATTCGCGTTTCGGTATGACACTGAGGAAATGTAATGATACTACGTTCACGATGATCCAACCCTCAACTGTAATGATCATCGGCTAAAACCTTACGTAATGAAATCGAAGCTGAAGCACTCATCTGCAGTTCGAACAGAATGCTTATTCTTGATGATAATAAGCTTCATTGACAAAGACAAGAAGACTAAAGCTTCCCGGGAAAGACATGAAAACAAACGAGCGAACTAAGAGGCATGCCCAAGGTAACTTCGAAATGTTGACCTTGTTGTCAGAATGCTTTGGAATTTCGGTCCACATATAAGAGTACGTGGACATGAAAATTAAAGATCGTAGTGATGAATCCAGACAACTCCAGTGTTCTCAAATTTCTCTATGGATCCCAGTCATAGGAATTCCGACAAAAAAAAACAAGCAATTAAATCGAAAGGTCGTTTTTGTAGCAGCAAACACATAATGCATTCATTAGGCCGCGTCCATAGTTTGCGATCTTGTGATTCTGCGTTTTTGTAATTTTTCGTGAGGCAGATATTCATCGAAGCACAATCATAGAACTTCACGGTTGATATGTTACTTTCCATAGCACACTTTCCATCGGCAAAAAGAACTGCGAGACGATCACCGGGTACTGCTGCTTACCAAAACCACATCCCCAATCAGGTTGCTCATATTATTGGCTTTTAAGACGAAGTATTTTTTTTCAAGAAGTCATCGCGTATGAAGCGTGAAGCGGCTGCGTTGCTCAAAAACACTTCGCTGAACATTTGCTGCCGATTGTTTTTTTAATATCAACACTAACAAGAAAAATTTAGCCCCTTTTTGAAAACAACACACTTCCAAAAAAAGATGTCAAAGCAAGATTTTTACCTTGAAAATCGAAAATATGGAAATGCCAAACGCTCATAATATTAGGTTGCCCCATAATTAGTGAACTTTCGACCATTTTTCGATTTTGAAAATACTAGTCGTGAAAGAGAAGCTAGTCGCTGCCTTTCCTCTACAACTTCATGTTCTGATCGAAGAGATCGGGAGTCGGTTTTGAGATCACGTCATTTAACATAAATCTTACTTTCCAGGAAAGCGCTAGAGATCAGAGTAGGTGATCATTATTCGGTACGCGGTTAGGGTTAGGCTGAGCTGAAAGAACTGACAGCCCGAGAGTCTCATTTTTTGAGTCCTCTCCGCAAGGATGAGCGGGCGCTCTCAAGGATATGCACCCTTTGCCTTGTTATGCTTTGAAATCAAAGGCGTCGCCATCAAGCTCTTGACGCTTGTTTTCGATTGACCTTATTGGGTTACGGTTCTAAGTGCAAACAATACCTATCTCATACTCAGCCAACAACTCAAAAGAATTTTTAAAGGAGGTTGGGCTCGCTAGTAGCCAGGATCGTTTGAGCTACGCAGTTGCCGCTTGCCTATTTCTTAGAACACTACACACAGTCAACAACACCGAAGAGTATGCCAGATGATCAATTGGAACCATGGAAAACCAACAGGAACATGGCGACGTCAAAGCGTTTGGGCATGTGAGATACATACTCCACATTTTCAAATCTTCACACTTTACGGCGTATTTCAGTGCTGCCACCTTGTCACATCAGAAGCGCGCTCGACAATAACAGCAAGTCTTCACAGACTCTTTTCTGGTAGAGTCAGGTAAAGCACCAAGATTGCCACTTACAGGGTTGTTGGTGTGTGGATCATCTACAAATAAAGAGCCAAATTGAAATAGAGTGACCCACTGGTGCGGCGTGGATTACAGGTAGCGAGCCCAAGCCTATCTTTGGTTGATCCTCCATGGTGCTTGCGCGTGAAAGATCATAATGGTAGTGATGACGGAGGAAACTCAGAAATAAATAGGTTCTCCAGAAGATGTAATAGCCTCGGAACGAAATGTGTGAATGGTCCGACTCAGGTTAATGGCTCGGGTGCTGGTGCTACTTCGCAAACATCAAACCCTCAAGTTTTTTCTAAGAGTTTCGGGAAAACCTAATATAATACATATATCAGCGCTCAAGAAAAGCGCGGAAAGACACCCAGACACCATTTTCGCTTTCTCATTGATCACCCTCATTTGAATAGAGCACTTTTATTAAACTTTAGAAACAAAGCTAGTTTTCCTGAATGCTTCATACCAGAGCGATCTGCCCTTTACAGTTTCTACGGGAACGCTGAAGAATTCGCCGAAGCTTACATCGAAAAATAAAGTGCACAAGTTCTTCATGTGAACTTTATTGTTTAGAAAATGTATCGAAGGTGCTCTCCATCTTACTTGTTAGACAAATGGCCAACGCTCCAGACAGTTATTGACATCCTAGCCTAATCTCTTTCATTTTGAATCCCCTCTAGCGATAA